GGTGGTGACGCTCTGACAAATTTTGACCGAAGCCCAAAAGGCATAGACGTATTAAACACCCACATCTGATCTGGTCCAACCAACTGAATTGGAGGTAGGTCAATGGCCCCGTCGAGCCCAATTGTCAATTCCTTAAGACTTTGAGACTTGAGACTTAACAATGCAAAAATTGAGAGTATCTTAAAAACTAAAAGCATTTAAGAAAGGCAATGAGAATGAAAGGAAAAGAATATTGCTTATACCCGTAGACCGGGTAATGTAAGTAGCTTGAGGTCAGGGTCGCACACCTTACTCGAATAGATAGTGCCGGGACGTCCGATCCCTCCATTTCTATATTTTATTGTCACAGTTTAGAATCAGGAAATCTATGAAAGTATACTAGGATAAATATTCACTATTACGTCATCATCTATTCCATTCATCGTCATCGACATCCTTTTATAGTCCACTGCAGGACATAGGCTTCACCTTAGCAAGGAGGTTTTGGCCTACTATACCACACTGGTCAGACGGGTTGGTATAGGGTTTGTTTCAAGTTTTTCTTCTACTGGTAGTGCTGTTGTCCTGAGTAGTTTTCTCCCTTAGTCGGCTCTTACGACACCCACGGGATGAATAGAGGTGGTGACAATTCGTATTCTTACCCGTTACCACGTAAACTTAAATGTATACAATTTGAAAATGATTTAATTGTAAACATATATGTAAGTATACACCTTCTATTTTACGCCGACATAATGTTTAGAACACCCTTACTCATTTGCATGAAATACTGACTGGTACAAGGTGGATTTATGTTCGTGTTGCGACACGAATTCAATTGTCAACAACCAGGTGACATTAAAAGTTTGGTAACATATAACAGCCAATATATCTAATATTATGATGTTGACAAAATGCTTCTAGAGGCTTTATTTCATCAATCTACCCACGATACCAGGGTTTATTATACTTAATGCTCTTGAGCTGTTTGTGAACTGATCTGTCTTGAAAATAATCGTATAACACATTATGTGTGGCTTTGAATTCCAATTTACAGTATATCTTTTATTTGGTTTACGATTCTTTCGCACTTTTACTTACATCCTTGAGGACGATTGGTAATGACCTGTCAACGACACGAAAGCATAGTATTTAGCTACATATAATTTACGTTGTCAGCCTGTATAAATTAAGGCTGTTCTACAGAATGTTCTTTGCACTTGTTTTAAAGTGTTTAGATTTCTCTATTTCCTGTAAACAGATTGAGTGTCGACTAAAAAAATCGACTAAACCGGAATTACTTACTTTGACATTGTTGTCAAAGTAAGTAATTCCGGTTTAGTCGATTTCAGACAAGTGACTGAGCAAGGACAAATTTATATTGACTACAGCCATAAGGACTTATTGTACAATTGAATAATATTTTCATATCGAATCGTCGACAATGTACTTTACGGTCTGTTTAACTAATTAATTAGGCACTAATTGAGCTGTAATTCATAACTACAGTGCTTTGTACTTCAATTTAAATTGTCATGCAATTTTAAATACATTATGTATATATTAGGCACTGATTATGATCAGGCCCCTTCTAGAAATCGATACGATCTACTTCTAAAACGACCGGTTGAATGAAATTTATATCTGCAAGTAAATCTTTTCAGATATTTGTACAAGTCGGACTTTACAGCTAGAAGGCCGGCATTTACGAAGTTCCTAAGTTTCCTAAATTATTATCGGTCCTGCGCCTCTAGACCATGGTCTCCATTCAAGTACTCTTTGGCTTCATTAACCATCGTGCGTCGTGCCCGTTTTTACTTCTTATTGCTGAGTATTAAGTACCTGATAACTAGGAGATCTTAAGTACATCGTAGGGTCACTTTGGTTATTCTGACTTTGACCGTACCTACTGCAAACAGTCAATTATAAAAACGATCCCCTTTAACACTTCTGATATTAATCACGAATAGAAACATTTGATAGCAAGATGTCAAAGTAAAGCCTATCAATATTTGACTGACGAACAACAAAATTAAACAAAACAAATATCATTAATTATTCATTGCAACTTTGCTAATGTAAGTGACTAATGTTGTGTCTTCAAAATAAGATGAAAGATGTCCAAAGATCTTAGGAAGTAAAAAACTAAAAAATAATTTTGTTTGCAGTTTAGTTTTTTTTTTATATGCTTTATTACTTGTTAAGGGTAGGGTACAAAAACTGAAAGCAAGGACTAGAATGAGTTTCTTTTAAACAAAGCATGTCAAGACTTTGTCATTCACAACAAAAACCAGCTTAAAATATGTTGGTAGAACTAATCTTAAATTACATATCCAGGACACAAAGTGAATAACGCCATAAATTAATTTAATACTTAAATACACTCGATCAAATAATTGATCTCGCGAAACCGTTCAAATGTAATATTTTTGTGAAAATTCTCGGATTGTGAAACATTTGCTTCAGTGAGCCGCCAATTATAAAATACATCGCCGGCTTTCAACCGAGTTTCTGTCATGTTCGTACAAATTTATAATTTTAATTGCTACATTTTTAATGCTCTTTGATTTGGAATATTTTGTATTTTAGTGAGGTATGTTATCGAGGAGGTTGCCAACTATTTTTTTCAAAAGCAGAATTTGACTAAAAACTTTCAATATTTTTTCTTTTATATCACAAAAATATTCCTTTGGCACAATGATTTTAACCACCGAGGCATTTCAAAGCCTTACAGTAATGGTATGATACCTTACAGGTATGGAACCTCCTGACGACCAACACTAGCACCGCGCATGTAAAAGCTGAAGAAGGGAAGTGCAAAAGAGCGAAAGCTCTTTTTTTATAGTACTTGGGGCAAAAAAACATATGGATCTCTTGATGGTAAGTGATGACCGGAGGCCATGAACACTGGCAAAGCAAGAGTCACAATTGCGTTCCCCCTTTGAGTTGCTTCCCCCAACATCAAAGGCTTCGGGCTCCAGCATCCTCACTCACTCGATAAAAAGCAACGGAATGTCAGGCCGTAGTATCATTCTGGTCGAGCCCCTATTTGTGCTGAAGCATGGCTCTCCCACGGCAAAGTATACTTACACTGAATAACAGTAATTGTCCTCATTGTCACATTGGTGTTCACGTTTTCAAACCGCTATTTAGTAACATAGGTATCTGCTTTTTTGTGTATTGTGTCAGTGTCACTTAAGATAGCAGTATCATATAAATATTTCTCTTTAACGCTTAAAGTAACCTGTCGGATAAAACCTTTGATCTCATCGCTTACATAACCAAGCGATTAATACTGTAGCAACCACAGTTTTTACTCCAATCAGATTGCAGTTTATAGAGTACACATTGTAATTAACTGTAATCTGTAAATACCCATAGGACCACTGTAACTACGGTGGTCCCATTACATAAGTATAATGCAAACAAGCCACTTTAATAGTGAATGTTCTACTGTGGGCGTTATGGTTATGTTATAGTAGATCTTGTTGGTACTTTAAGACTATAAACATGGCTCTTACTCTTGGCTTCGCTTACTATCTATAAACGAAAGGCACTTTGACTTATCGAGTACACTGCTATTACATTGTATAATGATATAAATTCTTCATGGATTAAATTCTTTTTTTATTTATTTAATTTAGTTTGGTCTAGTATTATTATTAAGAGCCTCTAGTAGTCCACTGCTGGAAATAAGCCTCTCCTTAGAAATGAGGTTTTGGTCTACTATACCACGCTGGCCAGACGGGTTGTATGCCAACCCGTCTGGCATAGGGTTTGTTTCAAGTTTTACTTCTCTTTGCTGTGCTGCTGTCGTACGTAGTTTGCTCCCTTAATCGGCTCTTACGACACCCACAGGATGAATAGGTGTGATGATACTCCGTATTCTTAATCCGTCATCACACATCATAATATATGAGATATAAGATGATCTAGTATAGGTATTATGCGTCAATTGTATCTTTAATTTAATTCATTCGAAAAAACAATACAACTTTGTGAATAATATCGTGATAGACAAATAATGCCGACGACGTGACAAAATTATTTACGGTTCGACGATAGAACTCACCCATTTTCCTGTGAAACTCAATGAACAATAACAACACCATCCATCAATAAATCAAATTTCTATGCCCGTGTGTATTTTCTATTGGAAGATTCTAGAAGAGTTATGGGAGATGCCATTATGAACCCATATGACTTCCATAGATATATGAGACCCATAGGACTGTAAAGTCGGAGTTTTAAATACGTAAAATTGTTTTTGCCCTATCACAGCGCAAGCCTATCACCCTGGCCACATCTTCGCCAAATGACGATTTACGTGAGTAAAAACTCACACCAAAACAAAGTAACATTATAGCAGTGTGAATGAATGTAAATTTTCGTGAAATAATTTATAATGTAACTGAACATTAATCTGATGTAATGGCATATTCGGTTTGCGTGTCTATAGGATTGAATGTAGTAAATTTTCTTCGATGCCAAAGGAATGTGTCTAATGAAACGTGAGATTTTAAATCAGATATTATAAGAAAATAAGATGTTTTACACAAGTTGCAATAGACAAACGCATGATTCTGGTCTGTAAGTAATCTTAAAGCAATTTAAATTCAACGGAATACTTATTAATTATTATTTGATTTACTAATAACTAAGATAGTTGTTGTATGCTTATTATAACCTATTTCTACAATTTTAATACAGATAGTGAGAAAAAATACAGGAATTATATTTTAGTTAATACTTATTAATTTTTACTGTTTGATAAACAAACAAATATAATCGCCATTTGTGCTAACTATGTCATTATAAAAGTCTCTAAACGAGACTAAAAATCACTAAACTTTTATTCATATCCTGTCAATCTCAAATTTTAGTACCTATAACACGACCAAAATTGGAAAACTTAACCAAATTAGCCCATGTCAGCTTATTTTTATTCTCTTGTATATTCATCTTATCTTCTTATTAAGAACTATCTTATGTAATCTTTAATATTAAATTTACTGAAATATTCACACATTTTGTATTCCGGCTAGAGGCCTCGGAATTCCCGGTAACAGCGAGTTGGAGTCCGTCAGTTCGAGCGCGTCAGGTCGCCATAATCTGACGTGCTCGTCGTGCTTGACGTGCATTCTGACACTTCCCGATCCATCTGTATAAGCAATATCCTTTTCCTTCCTTACTTTCCGTTTTAATTTCCCAAATATCTGACCTAATAGGGGGTAAATATAAGGGGTTATTAGGTTAGTAGGACTAAATTAGCGGACTAAAATGTGAGCTCCTTGCGCCTCTGCCAACAGGCGTGAGTGACGTCGGTATGTATGTATTCTATACACAATTCTTATAAACATATTGTAAGTATTTTGTTCATAAGGGCTCTTTTTCACACAGTTGTCCAATGCTGAGCTTGGGTTTGCAACTATGGTACGATGATAAAAAATAAATATCGACAAAATAATTTAGAAAATAATTATAAGCACTAATGTTTATCGATTGCAGTGAATTAAACAATTTATTTACAATGGAAGTGGACAGTTCTTTGAAGTAAGTGATACCTAACACTGATTTGTCGCCTCACTTGTCCGGGAGATTTTATCTTACCTGCTTACAATTCTAGTCCTGGAGCAGAGATCCAGTCCCGATATTAAAAACAGTGACCGATGTTATCTTTTCTTCCACTTTCTTAGGAAAATGCGTGTAAATTGTATCAATTGTCAAGAAAACGTCTTGGCCCGTAGTCCTGTAGTCCGAAAAGTATCACTTTGAGTGATTAGTGTTTATATTCATAAAGTTTCGAAAAATGGCTGACTTTTAAATAGTATTTAAAATACAATACTGTTTTGTCAAAATCGATTAGACTAATGGGATAGATTATTAGTAGTCGCATTTACAAACTAACTATGCCTCAATTGCTATGATTACGTCAGGCTTGTGACACTAAGGTCAGTAATCATACAGGTCTTTGATTCGATTCGCACTCAGGACAAAAATATTAGATTTCGCACGCCTCTGGAACAACAGGAACTACTACACATACTGTTATTCAAGACGTTTACATTTGCATCATCATCCTCGCATTGGTTAAAGGGATCGCTTTGCTACAATGCTGTGCCAAACGTTTTGGGTTCGATTCTCACATGGGACAAATTTTATGTAATCACATAAAATTTCGGATCAATCGATCCGGACTATTTAAGACACTTAGGTGTTCTTTGTGTCCGTTGCTTCAATATTTATGAGGTAATACAGAATTAATTCCTATTGCGGTAGTATTTTAAATAATAAATCATTTTTTGATCTTATAGTAGATCCTGTAAAGTTTCAACAATTTCGGGAATGTTTTAACTTACAAAACACAACCCCTAAAGCCCTACCAAATGAAGGAATATTAAAATAAAAACTTTAAATTTTGATTTGTATGAAAACAAACTGATATCAATAAAACTATAGAAACATATTTAAAACAAGAGATGTTTACTTAATGTCTATAGTTACAGAAAAATTACTGAAAATTGATGTAACGTTGTTTAGGAATGCATACAAATAAAACATTATGACCAGAATGTATACGAATAACACTTCATAACCATTTGTTTCTAGGCTAAGTCAAATTTAACGAGTAAACATAACTTGACATTCTAAAATATGAACTTACTTAAGTGAAACACATTGCATAATGTGTTTAACCCGAGTCACGTGCGATGTGTCTGTGTGTGATAGTCGAATAGATGTGCATTTTGAAACAAAGTTTTCTTTTAACGCCTAGAGCAAAATACACTTTTACGATTTCCTTTTAGGTACATGTTATTTGTGAATTTTAATCCGTATACTTAATTTTCGGTTAATTAACCAACTTTAAAAAAGGTGCAGATTCTCAATTCAGATGTGTTTTTTTCATGTGTTACCGCAGAACTCGGTCATTTTTGTACCTATTTGGAAAATTATTTTTTTACATAAAATGGTATACTCCTTGTTTAGTTAACTTAATTTTTGTTTCCATTACACCCTTAAGAATAACTGTTTATTACGATTCATCACGATCCTTTTTTAAAAGGCAGTTATTATTTTTTAATTGTTTCTATAAAAATACAAAGATTTTAGCCAACTGTTGTCATTTCTTTTTTGTGTCCATTACCTATTCCGCCTATGCATGAACATAAAAGTGTAGACGTAAAATGGCCAAAGATATTACAATTACCTAGGTCCTCAGATCGGTATCAAGGTAATTATCTGATGTTAGGTGTAAGTATATGTAAATTATACTAAACGTAAATGTCGTTTTATATTAATATTTTTCACTAAAGTTAGTGCTTATTTATTTATACTTAACTAGGTGTACCCTTTTACATTTTGCAGTGGTACGTTATGGTGACATTTACGAGACATGAGGAACAAAAGTGACGCCAGTAACCATTTTTGAAGCGTGTTGTAGATCGTGTCAGAACTAGAGCTCATTCGCTGCAGAACATTTTGAGTTTTTGAAGCGAACACAAACCAACTTAACATTTGAAGAAGTATTATTTTATTAATTAATAATAATAATTATTATTATCGTAATCTTAAGTGATCTTTAGGAGAAAAAGAAGAGATTTAAAGAAAATTACTTGTGTATTCTAGTTATTGGCGGTTTTTCTAACTATTCACTGAACTGTTCAAAACCTTCGGTTAAGTCACAGACAGATTATTTCGTCGTTTTCAAATATATTGACAGTTTACAGATTTGTTTTAAGCTGTTCAAGCAGAAGAGACAACACATTTCTACTTAAATCAAAGCCATCTGACTGAAAAGCAACTTCACTGATTTTGTTCTTTATTAGCGTAATATTTTGCGTGCCGTTACTCACCTTTATAAAACTACAAACATACTGTAATTTACAAACATCTAGTTAATCGAAGTATTATCTTCGAGGCTGCTCATCAAATAGATACATCGATTATGCAAAGTAATCGATAGTAGTGTCGTAAATTATGGGGCTAAGACGTGTGGTATAAGGTGGGCTCGTAAGTATAGGCGCTCATTACTTGGCCCTAACGAGCGCGCTAGCCACGTGCTGCAATGTATTAAAACATCCACGAGTCACACCGAAGCGTAGCATTGAGACATATAAAACAATATTCAGTGTGATAATTTCAAGTGCGCCATGGGCAATGTGTAGGAAGCTTAGTGATAGTTTTCGTGTCATCTCTCTAATTATTGGAATTGAGGTAATAATTAACTAAACTTGTATTCGTTATAAAATTTGGACGATCTATCAATAAATTTTGTGTCTTCTTTCATGTCAATTAGTGATGATTTTAATATAACACTAATGACAATGATAGGTAACAAGGTAAGGTACAAATAAATGTCTGTAAAAGTCATACTTGCGGTTGTTCTATTTATTAATTCTAACTATGTAATTTCAAACCATTTTAACAATTAAATACTGTCAAATCTATTTATATAAGGATCCGAACAAATACCTATAGTAGGTTTTACTTGTTACCTTTTAAATTATCGTTACATTTAGTTTATTACCCTCACACATACACACACACCCTCACAAACATATACACACACCCACACACAAACATATCTAATTAAACAAACTTAACTAAATTGTGTCTACTATGGTAACTATTTGTTCACCTTGTCTTTGAGAAGGAACTGACTCCCTACACACAGCTCGCGCTAGTTTCGGAATCAGGGCTGTATAATGTTTGTAATCCACTTATTGTTACAATAAAGATTATTATTATTAAAGATTATTATTATTCTATCCGTGTTGTGACGGATTAAGAATACAGAATGTCACCACCCCTATTCGTCCCGTGGGTGTCGTGAGAACGTGACGAAGGGAGCAAACTCTGCAGAATAGCAGCACTGCAAAAAGAAGGAAAACTTGAAACAAACCCCATACCAACCCGTCTGGCCATCGTGCTATAGTAGGCCAAAACCACCATTGTAAGGAGAGGCCTATGCCAGCAGTGGACTGTTAGGGGCTGTTGATGATTATCCTATCCTATTACTAATTAAGCACCAAAACCATGTTAGGTAGAGTAGTGTGACCTTATGGATACATTTTCTTAGAAAAACGAAATAAGAAATACGTCATGCTTTTTTCGAAAACATCTTACTAACCTTGTTTTTGATGTTGTACAATAATTGTTAAATGCGGAACATTTAAGTAACAAACGTAGTTTTCCCAGTATAGTAGTTGTTTTCTTGTTTTTTGTAATACAACTTTAACTACCAGATTATGTAATACTAGAAGACCAGCTAGCACGAACAGTCTTACTTCAAGTCCTCGGTAACATAGTTTAAGATAAAAATGTTATATACAACATGTATATATACAACATGTACGAGTATGTATCTTAAACTATGTTACACTACACATTTTGTTAACTTTTTGGCAGTAGAGCCGTTATAACGTTATAATTAGTCTTATTATATGCCTAATTAAATAGTTACCGAAGTGAACCCAAAGCGGAGACATCCCCTCAAAAAGTTGTCTCGTCCCATAATCTACTGTTGATTAGTTAGGTTCATATACATAGTTCAAATTTTTGATTATCTTTAAAAGCATGTTGTCCCTTCCTTGCCTATATTTCATTCACCAAGCTTGCAGTTATGGAAAATGATAAAAGAAGGAAAATTACGCATCGGTGTAAAAAATCATAATTTAAGCACTGAGTACTCTGCATGGAATAGTAACACAGTCATGCAATTGTGGTCAGCTGCGCAGTAATTATTGATTTTCTTCTTGAAAACACGCCTATAGTAATGGGGGAAACGTTGCATTACCTATTTATATCGAGATCTCGTTGGTATCGCCATTAAAATCCTATTAATGTAATAGGCATAAACGTGAAAGTTTGTTTGCTACACTTCCACACATAAATACTCAATCGATTTATGAATAAATTTCGCACTAACTTTGTCAGGCGTAAAACAGATGAAAGGCAGAAGATACCTTTCGTACAAAAAATAAATAAATTGCGTATTACCTAATTAATTAAAAAAAATATATAATTTCGCTTGCGAAGTCTCGGTTTACAGCTCGTATTGCTATAATTTGTGACGTGATGTGACTTTTCTTGTTGCCGTATGCCGCAGATCAGAATGTAACGGATATGGTTGTGGTGACAGTTTATTGATTGCGGCGCGGTTAGAAGTAGAATAGCCAAGCTTAAGTAGGCCTGACCTAAGTACTGATGGTGCAGTAACAAGAATAAAAAGCAAAGAAGAAAACTAATTAAAGTCGTTTCTTAAAATACCCAGACCTAACATTGTTTTGCTGAAACTCTTATATTTTTAATTTTTTTCAAAACATGATTGAATTTATGATGAGCTGCAAAAGGTATTTTTTTTAATAAACTAGTGATAGTTCTGTCATTCTAACTGGTTTTTTAAAAATACCAATTATAACTTACTATTATCCAGTGAAAAGAGCAAAGCACACCCAAAAAATTTACAGATAACGCCTGTATAAGTGGTAATTCTGTAGACGTATTTCTTTAGATTTATACATCTTATAGGTACTGACAGGACACAGGTAAGTAGTGTCAATCAATCAAACAATAGCCTACTGCGTCCTACTGCTAAAGATAAGCCTGTCCCAACGAGAGCCATAGCCCTCGGACCTCCGCATTCACTTAGATAGGTAGCGTACCTATCCATTATGTATTTATAGTACTGATGTAATAGTACTCTTTTCTCAGCTTTGGAAAAAGTTCAAGAATTTTTATACCATTATTTCAAAAACATTACTTATTTTAATTAAGCTATTAGAAACGCATTAATCCAACAAGTTATTGTAATCGAACCCTGTATTTGGTATAGTATGTAGGAGTTAAAAGAGCAGATAATTAACTCGATAGTAATCTGAACAAAACACTGTGACACAATTGTTGTTATTGTAAAAAGTATACAAATTAATTACATATTAAAATAAGATACACTAGAACAATAGAGATGAGATGACCCTGATGACCTGTGGAAGGTCATAAGAGGCACATAAACAAATTTAACATATATCTCTATTGCAAGGTCAGACAGAGAACAGTCCGCCGTCACCAGACGGGACATTGTCTATACAAATAAATAAAATTGAAGCATCTGTTTGTAAGGTCAATATATTTTTTTCATGCTCATACTGTTATTTGTACAAAAACAAAGTTTAAATATTTTTTGTCTGTCTGTTTGTTCCGGGTAATCTTCAAAACGACTGGGCCGATTATGATAATATTTTACTACCAGGTAGCTGTCTATGTAAGGAGTAACTTAGACTATTCTTCTCAGGACAACCCTATAAACAGCGCCTAACCCTACACCGAGGAGGCGTCTTCTTCTTCTTGTATATATATAATCTGAATCTGGGAAACGGCTCCAACAATGTACAACAACAAATTTAGCATGCAGAGTTTCGGGGGCGATTAATCGATCTAGCTATGTTCCATTTATAGAAAATTTAGCAAAAAAAAAAATACGGACCAAAGCTCGGTCATCCATGTACTTTATATATTCCATCTGTCACCCTAGCAGAAGCAGGCCGGGGTCGGGGTGGCGGCGAGCGCGTTGCGAAGAGCGCTCGCTTCCAGAGAGCAGAGGGAACATGGGGTTCCCACACGGGGGGGTCATCTACTCGTCTGTAGATGGCCCGAGGTATGTCGGGGCACCAGGGGCTTCCTTTCTAGGGTATACTTGTTACCAGGCTATTAGTACCCGAGACGGCGTGCGGTTTTAGTCGGTTCGAGTCCGACATGCCACCGATAGGTGGTATCCGAGGGGATTTCCGCACGGATATATTATTAACTATGTAAGACAATTTGTTTCTGCCATAACACATATTTTTTCATGGAAGAGTACCGTAACTCCAGGATTAAATTGGATGACGCATAACAAATTGTACTAATGCTTAGGAGTGGGTGGTCAACTGACTAATGGGTAATGTTCGCCCACCATGGCGTCAATGTGCACTGTCATACCCTCGTTATAAATGCAAGTAGGTGTTGAATTAACTACCGTATATGTAGTATTCGACTAATTTTATTTCCATTATGATTGTTGACCGTTTATCAACTCTGTTGGCTTTTATATAAAAAAATTACATATGACGTGTTTTCATTTCCAGCGATATATCTTTGCGGTAGTGGTGACACGTTTGGTGTAAGAATACGAAGTGTCACCACTAGTATTTATTCCATGGGTGTCGTAAGAGCCGACTAAGAGAGCAAACTATGCAGGAAAGCAAGACAACAACACAGCAAAGAGAAGGAAAACTTGACACAAACTATATACCCGTCTGGCCAGCGTGGTATAAGTAGGCCAAAACCTCCTTCCTAACGGAAGGCCTAGTCCCGAGGAGTATCGGATGATGATATATGTTTCTACGCCATTATTAAACTTATGTAACAGAACAGAACGTCCAAAGATACATCCAAAAAAATTTCAACATACCGTGCAGCTACTAATTCCCCCACAGAACTTTATATTAAAGAAAACAAAAAAAAACACTAAGAAATAGGTAACTGTTTGGTTGATTCTGGAATCGTGCAAATTGCAAATCGTGCACACCTAATCGTGGTAAGCAAAACTTAAGTAAAAAAAAAGTATTTCAGTTTTTAATACAATCAGTCAATAAACACATATACAAATATTATTTTATTACAATATTTGCCTTATTATTCTCCACATCCTGTGAATACAATAGTTAAACTGTAGATCTGGATAATAGAAGACAACATAACGCACCACTTGTCTGATTCATAAAACGTTTTAAAACAATTATATCTGTCACAGAATTGAGGGCTTTAAGTTCAAACGTCAAGAACTAAATAACGACCAATTATGAACTAGCCCAAGTATTGCACCTGTTGAGTTCGGCATGGTCCGTCGAGCATGGCAACCAGCCAGCCGCGACCGCTGTTAAGTAGTTAAATACATACTGAATATCCCATTTTGATTTAAAAATTATATGTGGCATATGATTTCTTTACGCAGATACAATTGTGATTTGAAATCTTCACTGGTTTGACTACCGAAGCTGATGTTTTTTTTTTTCAATATTGTAGGTGTTGAACCATCTCCTAGTGTGGCTATAACGAGGCTGAGAGATTACTGTTACTGAAAGTCACTTCGCAAAAAAGAGGATTAAAAAGAAAGAAAAATACTGAAATATTGTAAAATCTCTAATCAAATATGATAAAGTCGAAGATATCAGTTTTATGTTTGTTTTGCTGCAACTTCTGCAAATGTATTGGACTATAACTTCGATTACAATCTTCGACGGACTTTATAATTCGACACCTAAGAGAAGAGGATAAAGACATTGTATGCAAAATGTGCAGGCCGTGTTGCCGTAAATATGTAAAGGTAGACGCACAGTAAGCTATCTGCTCACTCCAGCCGGTTGAGTGGAAAGATAATATGAAGTTGACAACGGGTGCAATGTTAACTACGTCTACGTCTGACATAAGGCTGAAAGAAAAGGAAAATTTGGCGCGAGGAAGGCAGAAAATGATGATAAATAAATGAATATGCAATTCACATACAGTTTTTACATAATTTTAATTCTGGAAGTTAGTATAATTACATTTAGCAGTGAAATTTTAACACTGAAGCTTAAGTTTTGGAAAACCCAATCGAATTTGTTAAGATAAGTTTAAGAATAAAAATATAAGTTATTTTAAAATAACTACAGTAAATTATAATTAAAGCTCTTATTACGCGTCAATCAAATTTAATTACTATTCGCAGCAGTAGATTAGGCAATGCTTTCTGTACTCCAGTTATTATGAAAAGTTACATTGATTACTAACTGAATAATTAATTATACAAGATTGCTTTACTGCTGTTATTTTTTTTAATTAATTAAATTTATGTAGGTATAGATACCTATCTAATTGGGCAAAAAGAACATTTATTACGACGATTCAATTGTGTACATACATTTATATTTTCAATCTTTAGACAATTTTTGAAAACTTAAAAAAGACAAAAGTTGTATATCTCGAAAGAAAGGAAAAGTACTGGCTACGCAATATCCGTGAAAGGGCGGAAATTGTGATTGCTGCATATATTTTTTGAATCGCGAAGAAGAATAAGTATGCAGAGCTGGCTATCTACCTACACTAGTCGGAGGTGCATTCATAGGATAATGACAAGTTAAGAAGTGTTACAGAAAAGAATAAAAACGTAACGAATAAAACAGTATTTGAGAAATAACAAGAGAAAAACTGGGCCCTGTATAAAAAACAGAAGTAAACGTGTCTGTACATTTTTGTATATTTTGCAAGCACAATGTCTTGATAAGGTGGCTCAATCAACAGATACCGTAGCTTATGACTTGTAACCACGGTTATTGACCTTCTATTGACTATTGAGTCAAAAACCACTGTTAATGCATATTCCTGGTTTAGCAACAAGTGAATTTTTTTCGCAACTTCGATATTATTTGTGTTTAGAATATTTTATTTCTTGCGTGGTCCTAAGAACTCTAAACGTTACCAAAAATTCAAAGATAAAAGCAAAACCTTTTTTTTAAAACACACTTGGAAACTTAATCACCGAATCCTCATTCATGAGCAAGCCATTACCACGCCAGAATCACCTGTTGGCATCTTTACTTGAGGTGGGTGACCGAGGAAGCGGAGCGCGGCGGAGGGCTCCACGGTCGGCCGCATCTCGCCTCGCCAGGATAATGACATTGGATCTTGAGCCAATCATATCTCACTGTTGAGTAATTAAAACAATGGTTACTATCACCGGTGTGGTTCGTTACTTAGAGGGGTTCCGGTGTAAGAATATGATGGGTTAATAAACTTCGTGGCGTCAAATAAATCTTAGAAATAGATGTCTATGGAAATAGTAAGATATGAATTGAAGGATATAGTTTCTATGTATAGTACTGCGCTACTTTCTATCTTTGAGTTCGGTCGCTTTAATGTAGATTTATTTTTTAATTTTATCGAAATTAAATGTTAAATTTGTATAATTTTAGTTTCTTTCACATTTTTTCACAGCAAAATTATCCATCATTAACAGGTTGCATGTAAGAAACGCTTTGTTGCTGGTTGCTGTTTAGCGACAAGGCCGCAATTTTAACATTGTCATGATTTTTTATACTCTTGTAAAAACACAAAAAATAAAGCTGTGTACAACAAAATTTATTCCATTTCCAATATTTATTGATGAAATTAAAATTTAAAATTTAGGCCTACCAAAGAGTACTCTTAACAATATTTGAAAACGAGACAAACGTCCTGAAAAAATTTAAAATGTTCAAAGAAAGAATCCTTTACAAGTCGAATATTTTCTTACGTATATTGTAAGAAAATATTCGACTTGTCTTGCCTAAGACGAATACCTCCGTAAGTCTTAAACTGTATAACTCGAATAATTTGGCGTCTCCCTTGCAGTTCGTCTTACAGAGTTTCTACTGTTTAAAGTTCTGATAAAGAATATTTATTATTTTACTTCATTATTAAATTGTATCGGAATATAATTTACAGGATAAAGATAAGGTTATTTTATTAAAATCATTTTAAAAGTATTCAAGTTTTACAATTAATCATAAAAACTTACAATATATACTGAAATTATAATATTTTATTATTTTATTCCATTAAATCTCAAACAAATAAATCTGAAGACATCGCGTCAGTACATCGTGTCGTGTATAGCCGAGCGCATCACCCGCCCCGCGTCCCGCAAACCATCGGGAGAGCCAAGCTTACGGCGGTTTGAATATAATTATATGCAGGCAAAATTTCATTAAAATCTGTTACGTAGTTAAGGTTATAAAGCTTAAAAAAACAAGAAACTCACTTTAAGATTTATAAAATTAGTTAGGCATAGGCTAATTATTTAAATTATAGTCGTAATGCTGCATACGAGGGTATACATTTTAATAGGAAGCGGGTAATAGTCATAGAACACTTGATAAGTTAGTACGTTAAGCATCAGTGACCTAAGATTAAATCGCTTTTTAGAAGCGCACCGCAACGATGGGGGGGGCTAAGCTCATTACTTTGCTGCAATTTGATTGCTGCAACATTGTTAAACTTAACATAACATAACCTCTATTTTACGTTGCTGCTGTCATCTTAATATATAAAAATAAATAATATTATTTATATCTCTTTATATAAATTTAGTTTTGTTATGTTGTATTAAAAGCGTATACATTGTAAGTATTTTGTTATAATACCTGGAATAAAATAATTGCTTCTGTTGATAAATGCCTAATTATTATAGAATTAAAAAATGCCTAATTATTTTAACGACGTGAATAACCACATGTCCCTTTGTCAGCAAAGCGGACTCTTAACCACGAGATCAGTAAGTTTAAGTCAACCGGTATGAGAGGGTCCCGTGATGCGTCTCGAGCCAATCCTCCATAACGGGTCTTACCGCCGCGATAACAGCGTGCCCAGCGCTCGGTTGCCCAAGTCGTTCCTTCCACTCCTCCACGAGGACCTGGCGGAGCTGGGATTTCTGATCCTCCATTTCTCGAGACTCAGGACTCCGTCCCAGCTCCCGCGCCTCCTTGCGCCACTGATACAGAGCCGCAAGGGCTCTCGCCTCCAGGTCCCATGGTGGAGTTCCAGCTAGGAGACTCGCCGCCTCAAAGGAGATCGTGCGGTACCCCCTTATGACCCTGATGGCCAGCACCCGTTGCGGTCGTCGCAGTAGTGTGATGTTGCTGGCCTTCAGGGCCCCCGCCCATACTGGGGCCCCATAAAGGCCCATGGACTGCACAACCCCTCCAGTAACTCGCGGCGGGCCTCGCCTTTGGCCCGATTTATCGCTGCCTGAAGGGTCCTTTTGGCAACCCTGTATTCCGCTAACAACTCCGCCTCTCGGGCTGCCGCATCCTCTGTCATAATATATATTTATAATGTGGGTAGGCAAGAATGATGATTGGAGGCGACCGATATGGAGAACAGAATAAAGCAGTCTCTGTCTATACCTCTTGTTTGATTCATGTAACCACTGACTGTGACACACGGGTGGCGACGCCGTCTGCGGAACTGCGAGTTTTCTCATCGTTGATCCCGCAGTGCCTTAAGACGAAAGTCTTCAATGAGTGCGTCCTACCCGTCATGACATACGGAGCCGAAATGTAGACACTTACGGTACGGCTGGTCCACAAGTTCTAAGTCGCTCAACGTGCTATGGAAAGGGCTATGCTCAGCGTTTCTCTAAGCAATCTTCAGAATATAAAAAAATACGATAAACAGCTATAAATAAAAAATATCTGGTTGTGCCACTGTTCTATAAAATCATACATTTTTTAATTTTTAGACAAATAAGACACAAAGAACACCCAGCCTCGGAACAACAATTTTTGAATCATACAGTGTTGTCACATGTGGGGATCGAATCCACAACATTTAGTAGCAAGCAGCGCGGTAACCATTAAACCACTACGCCATCCGTGCAGTCAAATTCTAAAGTATAACACAAAATGAAAAGGAATAATACCAACTCCAATATTTACTCGCAAGAAAATCGGGTATCTGCGGACACGAAAAAATGAACATTTTTTTTATTATTGTTTACTAATATCTAGTATTGTCCGTGTGGTGACGGATTCAGAATACTGAGTGTCTCCATCCCTTTACATCCCGTGGGTGTGAATGAGCCGAATAAGGGAGAAAACTAAGAAGGACAACAGCACTACAAAGAGAAGGTAAACTTGACACAAACCCTTTTTTTTTTAACGTGTGGAAATCCCCTCGGACCGTCACCCCGCCGGGGTTCTCTGTTCGGCGGGGCGGTGTGTCGGACTCGAACCGACTAAAACCACACGGTGTGCCCTCTTTGCGCTTCTATTTTAGGGGGGGTCCAGGTAGTTATCGCCTTCTGGACCCCTCCCAGCGCCGGCTCGCTCCTGGTGCGGGCTCCGTCTCAAATTCTCCTCTCTTTATAGGCGACGTCCGGGTAAACTAATGCGGGTGGAGGGGAAAACCCATCCCGTCCACCCGCGGCCACACTCAGGGCGGCATGAGGCGCAGGTGAGCGCGCCTCCGCCGCCCGGTTCGCCGGCGGCGGATCGGGTCCGAGTGGAGGTCGTCCTCCCGGGCCTTCTCCGCCGCCTCCTTCTGCGAGATTACTTCCTCGCAGAAGGTTGCGACCGCGGTAAAACAACTGTCGCTACCGGCCATGGAGCGTACTACGGCCGATAGCGACAGATCTACTCCGATGACTGCAGTGAGGGCCCGGCGCTGCGTCGCCCATGCGGGGCAGACCGCCAGCGTGTGCTGGTCCGAGTCGTCACTGCAGTCGCAGTGGTGGCAGGCGGGACTCAATTCCCTCCTGGCGACCGAGTGCAGGTACTTTCCGAAGCAACCGTGCCCGGAAAGCACCTGCACTCGATCGCCAGGAGGGAAAGGGTCCCGTGCTGCAGCCCCGCCCACTCGGCGATGACCGGCTAGAGAGCCTCCACGGCGGCGAAGCCAGCTCGTGGAGTCTCCAGCCGGAATGACCATCTGACCATGGTGGCTCGGCGCGCGGCTTCGCACCACTCGCGCACGTCTTCGGGCGGAGGGCGAAATCCGCTCTCCGCCCGGAAGTCAGCCACTCGCCGATAGACTTCGGCAAGCACTTCCGCCTCCAAATCCCACGGGGGTATTCCGGCCAAGGCGCAAGCCGCCTCGGTGGACACCGTGCGGTATCCGCGTATTGCTCTGACCGCTAATATCCTCTGGGGACGCCAGAGGCGCGCCCTATTCTGGGCGGTCAGAGCCGAAACTTGACACAGACCCTATACCAACCCATCTGGCCAGCGTGGTAAAGAAGGCGAAAGCTCTCCTTAGAAAGGAGATTTTCGCCTACTTTCTATATGCAGAAGTCTATTACTAAATACTGATGGTGATGATAATGAATATTAATTATCACTATTTTCAATTCAAACAAATAAATAATATTCCATTTAGTTCAAGTTTGACCTTCGATAACGCTGTTGAACCAGGCTTGTTTTGTTCGAATTCCGAGAAGAATGACTAATGCCCCGGTGATAAAAAACTACATAATCATGTATGCGTACGAATGGTTATTTATATCTATAGGTATTTCAGTAGAGTAGTTGCTAATAGATGTCTCGATTGGACTGCGTTCGCACTAACCTTCAACCTACAACGCCTATGTGGGCGGTCTCGTGGTCTTCCGTGATACCGCCCACCTGGTTTAATAACTTGTCTGGCACAGCAAAGATTTTAATAAAACTTTTATCGTACTCAGATTGGATAAAAAATTACCAGATTGTGTGATTAAGCTTGTTACTTAGACCGCATAAGCCGGTCATAGGACGCATGCATTAGTGCTTTGCTAAATAAATCCTCAAATAGTTGAACTTTTTTGTTGTACATTCAGTAAGGAATAACCAGTGACCCACTATTAGGTGTCCTCGGATCACTGCAATGGTATCACATGTAAAAATATTAAGAACTCGAAACGCAGTTCTCATACTATAAATAGTCGTGAGATCTAATTAGTAGGTACTTAATTAGGTGGTTACCTAATAATTTTGATCGTATTTAATGTTAAATATATTTTTATTTCCTAAAACAAAAAAAAAATAACAATAAATTAAAAAACTTGAGTATTGCTTAGCAACGTAACCACATAAAAATATTCTACCACGAGTACTTTAAATAGTCCTAATTAAATTATAGCGCTAACGGACAAAATTTATGCATACCCC